AATAGAGAAAGCTACAGGCACACTGGGTTCCTGCTTGTTCTGTAAACAATTGTGAATGTTTCTGCTATCATAGCGGGGACCTGTCACATATCACTGAGAGCTGCTATCAGTTGTTTTTGGTTCACCTACAGCAGATGGAGGGTTTGGGCCCTGGCGTTGTGGCAGCGGCCGGAGAGCTCTCACAGGAGGAGGAGGATGAGCTGGGCCCACAGGCTTTGATGGTTGGGGGGCCCGCCGTTTTTTAGTTGATATCTGGGGACTTGCAGCTAATGAGTGGGAGAGTTTGGTCCCAGCATACACCAGTTTCTCCATTTTCTGTGAGAAGCTTAGGTGTTATGTTGTCCTGGCTTCCCTGGCTGTTTTCCAGAAAGTCGTCCTTGGGTGCTGAGTCTTGGAGCTGTTCTGATACGTCACAGTCTGTCTGTGATGACCTCTGTGGGCTGGGCTCAGCCGGGATGTTGTCCATGGGCAGTGCTTGTTGTGGCTGCGTGGTGTTATCGGTGTCCTTGTGGGATGTGTCAACCACATCACGACTCGGACCAGGTGTGTGTGTGTGCTATTCAGGCTGAGTGGATTGAAGAGGAAGCATTCAAAGAGGAAATGTGCATGACCACAGAGATGCTTTAAAATGATAAAATGACAAATCTTGGCACGTCTTGGCATGTTCTGCAGTTAACCTTAACTTTCCAAATCAATCTAAAATGTAGCTCTTTCTAAAAACAGCAAACACAGCCATCAATCTGTGCAACGGTCTGTATTTCAGATTTTGAGATACAGTTTAATATACTGTTTTTATTCTTTTTTTATCATCATGGAGACCTGGCCAGTAAAACATAATGTAAACACACTTTCCAGAGGAAATAGGCCAGTCAGGGTGTGTGCCCATAACCTAAAATCTGTCCCTTACGTGCTGCAAAATGATATGGAAATCAGTCCTAACAAGGTGCATGCATGTATCTCGGGAATGTCCTGAGAGAGGTTTTATTGGCAGTGCCACTTGCACAATCTGTTGCACAATCTGTTAGCATAACTTGCTCATACGATGCTAGAGTGTACTGGGTGGTTTCCAGAGCATTACTGTGTGGTTTATAAGGTGTCCTCGGTGGTTGCTTTCTGGGCTCGAAAAGAACCCACCCATTCAACTTTATATGTGAGCTGCATCCTTCCTTTAGTGCGGTGGTTCCCAACTGTGGTCCTTGCGACTCACCGCTCGGCATATTTTGTATGTGACTGTCTTATTAGGGGCCAAGCACTGAAGGTGCATAGGCACCTATTGTATCCGTTAGTTATTGTCTTCTTCTTCATCTTCTTCCTCCTCCTCCTCTTCCACTCTGGAAATCTATAGCACCCCATAGAACTGTATGGTAAAAAGTTGTGAAATTTGGCACACAGATAGAGAACAGTCTGAACATTAACCACACCAAATTTGGAGTCTCTAACTCAAACCCTCTAGTGCCTCACTTGTCAAAAGTTGCACTCACGTTTGTGCTAATAACCTTTGAACGTAAGGGCTAGAAACAAGATTCTTGCTTTCCTCTGATTCCTTGGCTTGGAACAAATTTGCCCCATTTTCATAAAAATTTTCTGTTATTTTGAATTTTTTGAAAAACCTACTTTTTCTAACTCTTACACCGTTTGTCCGATTTTCACAAAAATCAAACCATATCTTCAGACCATGTCGACTAAAATACATGGAAATCAAGTTGATCGTTTCTGAGTAACCTGCAAACGAAGTTAATGAAGAGCTCACCAATTGTACATAAGGCACTATCTCCAAAACACTTTAGTGTATTCAGACCAAACTTGGTGTGTGTTATGACAACCGTGATCTGAGGGTACCTGCACAATTTCAGCACAGTGCCACCTAGTGGTCAGGAGATATGAATAATGTCTATTTTTGTCTCTTTACATTCGGAGCAGCATGCCAAGTTAATTGGTACCCAGTGTTCCGATGTCGGTTTTGACAAAAAGTGCTACATTTTATGAATGCATTGGTGTATCATTACGAAACTTGGTATGTGTCTTTGGCACCATGCCGTGAAGGTACTCAAATAGTTTCATGGCAGCACCACCTTGTGGCCAAAAATCATAATGAAATTTAAAAAAACGCTAATAACCTTTGATTAAATTTGACTATTGTCAAGACTTGTCTGTATAGATTCCTTGGATCATGCTGAGAACATCAATACCAATTATGTCATAATCGCCCGAACTTCCTGTCTGCCATTTTGATTTATGTTGAAAACCTACTTTTTCGAACTCCTCCTAGACCTTTGCTACAACTTTCACCAAATTTGGCTCAGATCATCTTCAGACCATGCCAGCAAAAAAAAAAAAACCCAAAAAACAACAACAAAACCGTGGAATTCAAGTTGATAGATGAAACAGTTTTACCGCATCAACAAATTTGATAGCATGATGACAAACTGCATCTGAGGCTGTACCTCTGCAAAGCTTTGACATATTGACACTAAACTTTGTGTGTCATTATCACCTCGCACTGACCACACCACATCAAATTGGTAACAGTGTTTCCTATTGTTTAAAAGTGATAAACCATTAATATAAAGCCTTTAACCACTAATAATGAAATAAAAAATTGCTTATGAACAGTTTTACCTCTGTTCACAAACATATTAGGTTACACTAACAAAACTAAATTTAAGGGTAAGAACTGGTAGAAATTGCTCTTTAACAACTGCACATTACCACTTTTTTACACTGGGAGGTAAATGCTTAACGTAAAACTTGGCGCGTTGCGTTCATATTCTGAGCTCTTCTGCAGATTTTGATATTTTAATTTCACTGTCTTAATGCATAAGCTACGTTAAGCATAAAAATATCCACTGCGATTACGGTGTGTAATCAAAAGAATGTTTAAAAGTTTTAAAAAAGCAACCTTAAGTTTTTTTTTTCCAAATTCCACTGCCGCATCTAGCGTTTTTCAAAGCATAAACACCTTCTGTTTGATTTGTGAATACCTTTTAGAATGTCCTGCGAAGGGGCCCCATGCACCGCGAGGGCTGCGGGGGTGTCCTGTACACCACTGATCACGTCCTGATGCTGAACAGAGAAATCAGTAAAAACACTTGAAGTGACAAGTGTAAATAGGCCCTTGAGTTCAGGGAGCTCTCTCCTAACAAGCTGATGGTCTAAATCAGGTGTGTTAGATAAGAGACAAATTAAATATGCAGAGTGTCTATGGGGTTTATTTTTCACCAATTTTATTGTCCATAAGATAAAATGTGTCTGATCAGTTAGGAGAGTGGTAAAACACCTCTCCTTAACAAGGCGCATGATCTGAGATGCCGTTAATGTCTGTAGCACAAATGGTGAAAAGTTTCATGCCAGAGTGTATTACTCTAGGCCAAAGGTTTGTTTAAATCAGTGTTTCCTAACACTGTTCCTTGAGGTACATCAACTGTACAGATTTTGGATGTCTCTCTTATCTTAGTCATTTATTTCAGGTCTTGGAGTCTTTACTAACAGGCTAATGAGTTGAATCAAGTGTTTTATTTGGAAAAGTTCGAAAATGTGTACTGTTGGTGTGCCTTCAGAAACAGGGTTGGGAAATCTTGGGCTTGAAACAGAGCTTGAAATCCTTAACCCTAAGTAGTGCTTGCCTTAGCAAGGACCACTTGATATTATTATTGAATAACATTACATAGGCTATATAACGTGCACATTTTATATAATTTTTTTAGTCAGATTGAAATCCCTGCAGGAATAAATATTTAGTCTAACGTGGAGGCAATAAAAATGCCACTGCTCCGATTTGATTGTTATTTTAGCAATAGCAGGAGGATCCTTCGACAGTAATAATACACAAACATCTGTTATAGGCCCCCAGTCTACATATTTTATTTAACAGTAAGCTTTCATGTAGGCTAATGGCCAGCACACATCTCAGTTCAAACACTGTCCTAAATAAGCATTGCTAGCAATTGCATGGCAAAGTCTGGTGACAAGTCGTCAGTTTATTGAATCGCTAAGGCATTTGCCATTTAAAACAGGTCATTGTCAGAGAAGCACAGCAGCAGACCAGCGCATATCAACTGTACACCTTTTGGATGTCTCTCTTATCTTAGTCATTTATTTCAGGCCTTGGAGTCTTTACTAACAGGCTAATGAGTTGAATCATGTATTTTATTTGGAAGAGTTTGAAAATGTGTTGGGTTGGGAAATCTTGGGCTTGAAACAGAGCTTGAAAAACGACCACTTGTAAAACGTAACAGATGTACTGCAGTACATTATGATTTAATAAGCAGTTATGACAAACAATTAAACTCGTTATCATTTTACTCTATAACTTCTTTGTCAATATCCTCTGAGGAAAAAAAAAACGATTAGACAAATGAAGCAGTTACATTTAATACACTGTTACATTTATAATAAAATAATAAAAATAAATAAAAATAAAAAAAGCATAATAATGTGTGCACAATGAAAACTATTCAAAAATAGTTAATGGTTAACATAGCCTTGCACTTTCGAGAATGAATCCGTGAGTGAATACATTAAAATTCTGAATGGATTATAGCCTAGAAAGCACACAAAGAGCACTCTTATTATCACGGAAAAGCTGTCACTCGTCTTAGTTCATCACGATTTTCCATTATAATCAATGAAGCTCTACACTTCACAAGGAATCTCTTATTTACATCACGTATACACTTTGTTTGCTATAATGAGAGGACTCACAAGTGTGTAGAGCTCAGAAGTGATTGTATTATTGAAAAACGCTGGCGTTTTTGAGCGGTGATTCTAACTTAAACACCTCTGATTAACCATTGTGTTCATGAAATCAACAGACATGCCTGTGATTGGCTACATTATTCAATGCTGCAAAGACACATTGTAGATAGAAATCTGGCCTTTGACCAGATATGAAAAGCCCCACCCATGTTTGTGATGATAGGAAGCAGGGGTGGTTTCAAACTGCGTTTTTCAGACTGTGTTTAGTACACCGCATTTTAATTCTTTCTTTTTTTCAGGGCATACCTGGTATACCTGGAAATGATGGTCAGAGGGGAATTAAGGTGATGTTTTCTTTCTTTCTTTTGTCCTTATGTGGACATTGTTTCTCATTTGTTGTTGTTTAGAGGTTATGCCTTATGCTCTTTTACAAAATGTTGTGAGCTGCGTGCATTTTGTAGTTTATAAGTCTCACTACTATCATAACTCAAACTACCCTAAATATATTGAAAATATATATTTGTTGGTTCCTTTAAAGGGTGAAGCTGGCTTTCCAGGACCAAAAGGAGCCAAAGGTACACCTGGAGACCCTGTAAGTAAATCTAAAAATATAGTAAGCTCTTGAAAAATCATGATACAGAAATATGTCACTGAGTTGTGACCTAATGGTTAAAGAGTCAGACTTGTGACCCAAAGGTCACAGGTTCAATTCTCAGTACCAAAAAGAAATGTAGGTGGGGGGATTAAATGAACTGTGCTCTCTTCCACCCTCAATACCCATGACTGAGGTGCTCTTGAGCAAGGCACCTAACCCCGAATTGCTCCCCAGGTGCCGCAGCAAAAAATGGCTGCTCCAGGTGTGTGTTCAGAGGGTGTGTGTGTGCACTCTGAGGGGTTAAATGCAGAGCACAAATTCTGAGTATGGGTTTCCATACTCGACTAACCCTCATGTCTTAACTGAGAGAAAACTATTAAACGGAAAAAGAAATTGCATAATCTGTAGACTTGTCAAAGTGGACAAGATGCAAGTTAGCTAAAACTGTGGTGGCACTGAGCTACACTGGTGCTCAAATCACTTCCATTCATACGAATGCAAACATAGGAGAGAGGAAACACTGAACTCTGACTTGTGAATTCATACAGTATGGTGAAAACATGTTTTAGCAATAGAAAATGTAAATGTCACATATTGACCTCTTGACTCAATACACCTAACTTCAGCGACTTCAAAGTTGCATGGTTTACAGTGTTACAGGAGAACTGACGATATTGGACATTTTGAATTTACATGTAATTTGTGATTTATCAGAGTATGTCATCATATCCAGTTACTGATATCCATTACAGGGTGACCTTGAATGCTCAAAGTTAGTGTGCCTGCACCTAGTATTTAATGTTCAAAGCAATGTGCAGGTTATTGGTTCAGTCCCCAATGATAGGCTTAGTTGTGTATAACGTTTACAGGGAAGGTGATTGCATAATGCATAGTGACAAGCTCAGTGAAAAGCCTTGTTTTATTTGATGTATTGGAGATGGTTTATGCAATTTAAGTCAACATGAAACAGAATTCACAACCTATTGTATTGTATACATGTATTTCCGAGTGAAGTAAACTATTCAACAAGAAAAAAAAAATACACTGTCAGAAATAAATGTACCCTTAAGGTAGTAATTTGGTACTATTATGAACCCTTTAGGGGTAAACAAGGTACAAAGGTGCCCCTTTGAGGGTACTGCCCCATTGACAAGCCATTGTATCCCTAAAGGTACAGTTTTTGCACATTTTTTCTGAGAGTGTAGGGCGGGATTTTATCCATCGGGAACTGATTCTTGAAAAGTGGGCATTCCACACCAGACTGGAACCAGTCGTCAGGTTGTGAGGGCCTTTTTGTGACGTCAGCTGAAAAGTAAAAAGGACTATGTTTCAGGACTACATCAACAACATTACAAAGACAAACGTTTTGTGCGTGAATGAATCTCACACAAAATGTGGTAAACTTTGATTTCATTTTAAAGTTCAGAACATCTGTTTGACTGAGTCTGTCTTTCTACAGGGTGAGATGGGATTGCCTGGAATGCCTGGTTCAAGTGGACAACCTGGCTCTAAGGTCGCATTTCATGTTTTTTGCCCTTTAAATACAAGATGTCCTTTGTAATTTTGAGTTCATATGGAAGACATTATAGGTGTTGATTTCTGAGTTGGAGTCACTATTACATTATTATAGTGATTTTAAAGCAATTGCAAGACAGATGGTGAAATCCCTTTGTTCTGTCTGCACAGTTTTTCTCAATCGCCTTTCATCATCTGTGTAGACATGCGTGTGGATTGCTACATGTGATGTGTAATTGTGCAGAACAAAAGCCATATCTTATAAATGGTTACGTGCCGTCAAATTTGTTCTGCTTCAAATCGTGTTTTTTAGATTGTGTCCAAGAAAAGAGAAAACAGAGTATGTCCAGATTTCAAATCTCTAGTCTAGTTACCTTCAAACTTCAGAATGCTAGCCAACAACGCTATTCTTTATGACTCATTCACCACTTTATGAGACAAAATGGACATTTTTCATAAAACAATGACAGCAGAGGGCAGAAATATGTGCACTGTTACATCGTGTACTAAATATTCTGAAAATGTCATGTTCTTAGTGACTTTTAAAGAGAGATTTATCTGTTGACTTATAACTCAGTTTGGGGTCTGTACAGTTTTTTAATGTTTTTAAAAGATGTTCCTTCTGTTTATCAAAGCTGCATTTATTTCAAAGTAAAAGAATATTATTACAATTTAAAATAACTCTTTCTGTTACTATGATGGCGAAAGTTGTTTTTCAGAATCATTAATCCCGTCTTGAGCGTGATCCTTCTCATTCTAATTCTCATTCTTCTCATTCTAATGTGCTGATTTACTGCTTTTTGTGGAAACCGAAATACTTTGTTTTTACTAGTTTTAGATGGTCTCTCAGCCTGATCAGCTGAGAAGTGGTCGACCCCCCCACTAAAACCATCAAACTAGACATAACTAGAAATGGAACACCAGTCAATACCAAATCATAGAAACATTATCTGTTCTGCTTTTATCTATTTTAGTTAAGTAAGCAGCAGAACAATTCAAAAATGATTTACAAATAAGCAAGACCTTTAAAGTTAAGACTGGCAAAATCTGCATGAGGAACCTCTAAATATGCTTTAAAAAGCAAGAGAAAACTGTTTACAGTTTGAATATTTGTTCAGTTTCCATGGACTCCGAGTCAGTCAGACTATTTTATGCATCAATATGAAGAGTCACTTTGAACGTCTCTCGTCATTGAAATGGATTTGACTCATAAATTGACAGTGCAGTGAGCAAAGAATTAATCTGGTTCACAGATTATATCACCATCTGCAGTTGGAATTGCTTATCCCACAAATGCATGAGCTTACAAGGTTCTTGATTATGATTTGAAAATGTGTGAGAATATTTTACAGTGAACAAATAAAGTCTGTTTTGCTGTTAAATATTAAGATCATGGACAACAGGAAGTTAATCTCTGAAGTCTTTCAGTGATCAAAACCAGTATTTATTTATTTATTAAAATTAAGGTAACATGTATTTTTTTACATGTTGTTTTCAATTATTTGTAAGCAATAGATGCTGTTTTTGCTTTAACTTTAATTAGAGATGCATTTAAAGCTCCCATGAAAATCATATTTACGTTAGTACACTCTTAAAAATTGTCAAGTCAAGACAAGTCATCTTTATTTTTTATAGCACTTCATACAATAGAGGCACATTCAATTCTGCTATAAAGCTGCTGTAGAAAGACAGTATTCATGTTGTCATTATTCAGCTCAATAATTCAGTTGTCAAAATTTACTTTTTGCAGTTAAATACAGAGTTCTGGCATGAAACTTGAAAAAAATAATTGCTGTTAATAGTGTTCATCGTCTGTTTGATTACGTCTTTATTTGATTTTTCCGTACATTTCTGCCATATGTACATTAACTGACAGTCACCACTGATAAGCTACTACTAAGTATTGTTGAAACTTAATTTTCTGTAAAGTTGCTTTGCAACTTTTTGTATCGTGAAAAGCACTATACAAATAAACTTGAATTGAATTGAATTGAAACTCTAGATGGCGCAGTCTGATAGGTCTAACTCAATCTGACCTAGTAACATCATTATCACATGGCACAGGTAATTGGTCTCTCCTGTATCGGTAGCCAATGAGCTCACTGCTCAACATTCAAATATATGACTAGTGCTTGCCATAGCAGTTGCAGCTTGCTTCAGAAACCCTCCACCTTCCCCAGCTCCACCTGTATAGATCTGCTACGAGGTAATTCATGTACGCTATCATGTACGCTGGCGGTTATTTCATGTATGTTATATTTGCAGCAGCAATATTTCTTACATGCTCACAGCAGCATGTTGTGAATGTATTGGCAGTAGCAAGTCTCGGTACTTGCTCTGCCGCAGCAGCAGCAGCAGCGTAGCAGATCTATTCCACCAAGACCAAATACATTTCAGATTTCACAGGCCAAAAATAAAAAAGCTTGTACTGTATTTTGTCCAATAAATGCTCTCTAGAATGAGAAAGTCTCTCTCTCCCTATTATTAGCAGATAGCAAATCCATGTCTGTGACGTAAGATAAAAGCTTTGATACGTTCCGTCCAGATTTCCTGTTTTAATAGAGAAAGAGAACCATGTTCATCAAGCCTTTTCATGGGATCTTTAATACAAGTTCTTACTTGCTAACTTGGATACTCCAACTCAAATTTCCATTATTAGGGCACTAAAGGGGACAGTGGAGAGTCTGGTCAATCAGGACCTCCAGGACTAGAGGTAAAGTCCTATTCAAATGAAACCTCATCAGGTGGTTGAAGGAAGAGGAAACATATATGATAGCCTGCAATAGTTATTTACAAGTTTATATGCTTTTCTTGATCAAGGGTAAGCCTGGAGAACCTGGGGCAGCCGGCCAGCCAGGACATCCAGGAATGCCAGGATCACCAGGACAGAAGGCAAGTCATTAATTACGACTCCATAAAAATTATACATCATATTATATCTGGGGTTTGGATGTCTCATACATTTACTAAACTTTCTGGAAATTATTTGGTCATTTTATCCAAATTACATTTATTTCTTCTGATCCAACGGGAAAGAAAACTCTGACATTGCATTTCTGGTCAAGTCTTGGAGGTAAAAGCCCACGCTATGGTGAGCATATTTTCCAAGAGTAGCTCTATTAACTTTAGTAAGGTAATGAACATTTCTGCCATGGCCAAAAAAACATTTTTCATGAAAATGTTGCTTGTGGTTTACAAGCATTGGCTGCTTTCAGTGAAACTAAATTAATTATCAACAGCTGTTTTTCAATTTAGAGCTAAATCTTAATTACTATTGGTTTGCTCTCTGTGTTAGAAGTGGCAATTTTGTTATGAATCTGTCATTCAAAATTACCGTATAGAGTTTTGAAAATAATCTCAAATACGGTAAAACAGTAGCAGTAACTGCCCAACACATGGTACTGTACACGTGATAGACTTCACAGAAACTAATTTCTTCTTTGAAGGTTTTCAAGTTTCAATTTAATTCAGTGATTTATGACACAAGTTAGATATACACAAATCATATATACAGTTTGAAACCACTAGTGCAAAGGCAATAATTTTACATGTACATTTATTCATTTTGCAGACGTGCAACTTACTTATGAAAAATACAACAAGCGATCATCCTAAGGAGGCAATAATATGAGACGTGCCAGCAATATAAAGTTCCAGACACCATTTGAGAATAATGCAAGCTAGAACAGGGAGGGATTAAGAAATGGTTAAAGGATAGAAGAATGTGTTTTTTTTTTTCAGCGGGAAACAAGTGTTAATTGCTGATAGTAGAGACGAGTTTTCAGCTGTTTCTTGAATATTGTCAGGGATAGGATTAGGAAGATCATTCCAACAGCAAGGAACAGTGAAATAAAACGTTCTGGAAATTAATTTAGTGCCTATTTGTGATGGTTCTATCAGCCGTCACTCACTACCAACCTCAGGCTTCTGGAGGGAATGCAGATTCGTAAGAGTGAGTGGAGGTAGGAGAGCATCAGTGTCTTGGACTTGATGCGAGCCATAACCGGTAGCCAGTGCAGGGAGATAAAGAGAGGTGTGACGTGGACCCTTTTGAATCATGGGCTTTCTGAATAATTTGTTGAGGTTTGATTGCGCCTGATGGAAGTCCAGCCAGAAGAGAATTGCAGTAGTCCAGCCTACAAATGACATGGACCTGGAAGCGCCGCATGCTCCATTAGAAAGCACCTGAACTTCCTGATGCTGTGTAGTGCAAACCTGCATGATTGTGCTGTTGTTGCTGCAGTGTGTTCTTTAAAGGTAATCTGGTCATCAAAGATTACCTCAAGATTGTTGATGATATTAGCTGTATGGTGAAATTGTTCTGTACAGTTAGATTGGCACAGAAGATGAGAATCTGTGGGTTGACATGGTAGTTCAATGGGTAGTACTGTTGCCTTTCAGAAAGAAGGTCCTCAACTGATCCAGGATGCATTTCTGTGTGGAGTTTGCATGTTCTCCCCATGTCTGCGTGGGTTTCCTACAGATGCATAGGTAATAGGTAAATAATTGCTAGGTAAGGTGGGTGAAGCAAGAGCTTATGAATGCATGGAGCAGAGTTTCAGTGTCTTTTGGATTTAAAAGTGGGTGGAAGAACACTTAACACAGGAGTAAATATGGGCCTGAAATATTAGAGGTTGGTCCCAGATTGCAAAGTGGTCTAAATTGTCATGTTAGCCTAT